ATATATATATATATATATATATATATATATATATATATATGACAGCTATAAATTGTGCCTTGAGGTTTTCATCATATTGCGTTCCAGTGTGACGTCTATTATTATTCAGAAGCTTTATGATACCAGATCACTGTAGCCCAGGCTTCTCTTGCTCCATATCAGTCTTGATTCATCAATGACTCCTCGTCTCCTGGAAGTTTGAAGACTAATTTTTACGAGAATACGAGAGTACCCTAGTTCTATATTCCCATTATTAACTCCAAATATATATATATATATATAGTGGTGGATTTTAGGACCGACAAAAGGGTGGATGCTGAAATAGATAGGGATATGGACTCTGTGAAGCAAATTAGACTCTCTTCATGTTGAGAATCGCTAGAACTGCGTGGGTCTACTGCCCAGAAATGTTTACGGTACTAAAATGTATTTACTGCATGGTGCACTCTGAGCTGAAAATATAAAACTGAAATCATTGATGGGAAACGCTTGCGCTATATATTATTTATTTGCTCGTACGTGTGTGTGCATATAGTTCCTGGCAAAATTGCGCCAAAATCTTGAAAAAGCGCGCACAGCCGTTACACATATAAAGACCGGTATATAAACCTTGGCAATGGGATGGGGGTGGGTATAATACGTATAGCTCGATTCCTTCTAGATTCACCAGTGTGCGTTTATCGGTAACATGAGTAACATATGCGATGAGAAAGGAGTGCCGATCTTTTATTTGCAAAGTGCCGCCGCGGCTGTATCTGCTCTGTGTTGTCCTTCAGGCACTGTGCTACCCGCTCCTTGACCGATATAGATTCTAACTTGATTCTAATAAATAATAATAATAAAAATAATAATAATAATAATAATGAAGGTTCTATTTAACCAATGTTTTTTTTATAGATTGTTCATTTTTGTTGTTTTCTCCACGATAGTTGTTATTCTTGTATTATTTTATTGAAATATGTAATACATTTACGAGAGGAAAAGATAGAAAGACATAGAAAGAGAGAAGGAGAGAGAGAAAGCGGAGAGAGAGAGAGAGAGAGAGAGAGAGAGAGAGAGCGAGAGAGAGAGATAGAGAGAGAGAGGAAGACGGGAGAGCTCTCTGATAATATTTCCCTACTATTTACTATCATCAGTACTATATACACTATGCTATCAGATGTCTGGTACATAAGCTTTGCTGCATATTAGCAGGAGTAGATAATAGGGAACTAATATAATATAATAAAACAATTAATTACCCCTATTATCTACTCCCTGCTATAAGTGTAAACATGTGTGCCAACTTTCATGCTTTTGTCAAAAAGTGCACAATGCGTCTGGTTTATGGCTCTACTAGACTATGTGTCCTTTTCTCTCTCGTTCTCGCTCTCTCTCTCTCTCTCTCTCTCTCTCTCTCTCTCTCTCTCTCTCTCTCT